TGTAGAAAAAATTATCACTTTAATGGACAAATTCCATAAAAAAAGAAGCCAAATGGATATCAAACTTTCAACATTTTCCATGGAAAATTATACCAATCAAACACAATTAATTATAATTCCCAGTAAAACATTTTTTAAGAAAATCAGTTCCCTGTAAAACATTTTCTTTCCATCCATTTTCCACCATTACAATCAAACGGACCCTAATGCTGATAGAGGGATAAATCAGGAACTTGATTGATGGCATTTTCAGGTCAAAGAAGTTTCCAGGGATTTGAAGGTTACCCTGCACCGACACGAGCAAGTTCACCTGCAAAAGGGACAGGAATAACCTTTTACATAACAGGACAGAAGCAGAGAAAATAATCAGAACACACTTTAGAAAGGAATAATTGGAGTTCGCGAGACAAATTTCCGTATTGCTTTGAATTAAGCTTTTTGGTTGCAACTTCAGCAATTAACAATATAAAGTTTGCTTAAGAAAAATGGAGGAGTTGCATATGTAAATATCATACCGTATATTTGAATGTAGTATGAGGGAATGAAGAATGGAATCGCCAATGATATCATCAATATAAGGAATTTCAGTCCCCACCATCCAGAATGCCAAGCATTGCAAGTTTCATATAATTTTCTCGTGTTAAATGTTGTAAGAAACATTACAAAGAAAAATATCTAGATCATATGTCAAGGAAGCTCGACGATCAAACGATGTGGAGGATAGATTTCGTGTAGCCAACCCCAAATTCTTTGGAGACAAGGCTTAGTTTGTTGTTGTAATGGTTTACCAACCAGATGTAGAAATCTAGGATAGAGGCTTGGATAAAAAAAAATGATAAATCTGAAATTTGTGCGCATGTAGACTGTGAAAGGAACATACATGTAGAATTTAATTACAAGAACAAGGGTACTCTGGATTTTGCTATAAGAAGGATACAAAGCATCCTAAACTCACACGAAGAACTCCCATTGTATGAAAACAATCTCCTTCCTCTGTTCCACAAGCTTTTGTATCTGCAGTGAAAAAGTTTCAAAGGAATGAATAGATGAGAACTGCCATCGCCAAAAACGACACGTTGAAAAACATTTAGATCCGTTAAATATACTTAAATAATCTCTCATAAAAACTTTGAAACGTCATAAAACAAAGAAAGGGAAGGAACCAGAAAATGTGTCATTTTTATACATAGTAATACATATATATCTCTACATATTGGACAATATGAAATAATTTAGAATCCCATTAACAAGAAAGTCTCTTCATTATAAATGTGGCAAAAAGTCCGGCTTACAATGTAAAAGCGGTGAAGCCTTTTCTCCGTAGTCGCGAAAGAGCCAAGCTATAAGATCTGTTATCAAGAAAACCATGCCATAATAATAACGGGCTCGTAAAGACTTCTTCTTTTCTATTGAGCACTGAACGCTTTTCCGCACTGACAACTCGGATAATTCTTCCCATTGAGCAGCTTCAGTGTCGCTTAATTTAATTTCTACTATATTAGGTTCATCCATTCCACCATGCTCCCCCATCCTGTAGATTCCATCAACAGGACAAAAACTATTTACCATCACTAGACAATATACCAGTGAAATACTGAACTGCTTATGAAATCTCTTTAAAGAGACTCAATGCAATTGAAGATAAACTATATAAACATTTGTTCATAAACCTTGAAGCACAATTTTTGGTTGTCATTTACATCATATGGTCAAGGTATCGTTTCAAGCCCCAATAAATTGGATAATTGTGAAAATTCAATCAACTGGTATAAGAACATATTTTCCAAAAAGGGTACTCGGGATGAATCATCAAGTTTTGTTCATCTACCGAAGATACATTATGACCAAACAAGCAATGGGAGTGATTTCTCCACATGGATAAAGAAAGTACACTTCAAGGACTAACATGAAAAAAACCTTATAAAAATTTTAACAATGTACAATCACTTGTGCATAGTTTTGAGGGAGACAGTCAAATCACCAACATTGTCGCCGAGGAGGACAAGATAATTGTATTTATTGAGGACTAAACCCTATCACAACATTCAAATGCAATAACAGTTATAAAAACAACTAGGAAACATGCAAATGACATAGATTTATAGTAGATCTCCCTCAATGTAGGTTCTACTTGCCTCCACTTGCTGCTGCAGATTTTCGGTATAATAGAAAAGAAGGTTACAGTATTTTTTTCGCTCACGAAAATGGCTCTGTTATAAGTTCTTTATATGGTCATGATATTAAGTCGATCTGCAGACCAGGGGAAGTGTACAATATGATCAAGCTCCACATTCAAACTATATGGGGCTAAGAATATAAAATCCTGAGACAAGCATAGAAATTGGTTGAAGTTGACGATGTACAATGTCTAAAAGCTTATTGAACCAACCATCCAGCCAGCTTTTTCATCACATTGTTCACAACAAATTCAAGTCAGTATATAAAATTCCCAAGAAATGTGATAAATTTATTCAAAATCACAGCAGCTCAACATTGTGAGAATTAAATGATAGAAATAACTCAGAAAAAGTTCGACTGAATTTTTCTAGACTGACCTTTTCTTTCTTGTTTCTGGAGCAGCAAGTGACTCGAGAGTGGCACACACTACAGCAAGAAAAAGAAGCTCCTTACAGCAATCACTTTTGACATTTCAAAGGAAGAATAAATTAATCTAAATTACATTATTATTAAACTACCCCCTCTTGTCACGTGAATAATAAACATTCCTGTCTTTTCTTGTGATATTAATCATTCCAGAACATATAGTAAACGACAACAAACGTGTCAACTTTCCAGTAAATGAGGTATATTCCCCCGCGCTCTTTGTCACAGGCACATATTACAAATGAACATATTAGCAATATTTAGAATTGAATAGAGTTCTTTGTTTTCATTTTCTACTTGCCATTTCAAAAATTAAAAATAAAGGAACTCTCCAACCTAGAAAATTGATATATATTTTGCACTATACAATATCACATATTCACATTTAAGTTTAATGTGCTCAATTCTAATTCCAATAGTTCGAATTGAGTTGATAATGATGTGTGGACTCAACTCGAGCTCTCTCGTTTTACTGATGCTCTAGGCCGAGGGGCAATTGTACAAACTCCCATAGCAATGACATATCTTAGTTCAGGCATTTGCTCAAGCATTATCATTTGCAAACTCCGATACCATTTTTACCAAAAAAAAAAAATTCGCAAACTCATTTTCAAGTACATATTCTCTTGATAAAATATTATACACGTAAAACCAAAACTTTTTTATACTTTTTAATCATACATTCTCCGAAAACAAAAATCTCTTTTTAATGGTTGTGTCATGGGCTAACATATTTTGGTTCAGACATTTGCTTGAGCATTGACAATGCAAATACTACGTACAAAGAACCGAAAAAGAAAAAAGAAAGAAAAAATGAATAACGGTGTAAAATCTGTTGGCGTGAGTGGTGCGTTGAGTGTTGATGAAGATTGAAAAAATGGGACAAACAGAAGGAGACAAGATGGGTTGAACAATTGCTTAAACCAGTTTTCTTGAATTCTAGAAAGAATGGGGCCCCTGTTAGGTGGAAATTCACTAGTTACCGTTGGACAAAACTGGGCGGTGCTCGAGGCCATTTTCAAATAAACTATACTATTGCCCAGAAGCAACCTTTTACGTATTACGCATGCTTCATAAAAGAATAACATGTATGAAGACTTTTTAGTACACGAAGTTGCAAATTGCAATGTTTGTAAAAGAGGGTAGGAGAATTCAAACTTCTAGGCAGCTAAATTTAGCTGATGTTTTGTCAAAAGGAAAAAAAATAAAAACTTGCGAGTTGGTAAAAAATTGGTAAGTTTTATTTGTAATCTAATATCGTAGTGTTGTGTGTTTACTTATATGTCAATCTAAACTAATTTTAAGAATTGATAAGTCTAAATTTTGATCTTGTTTGTCTGGGAATGTCCGGCATAGTATATTAATTTTGATCTATAAAAATTCACATTTACCACGAAAAAAATGATAAGTCAAAATTTTGTTTAAAAGTTGGGTTATTAGCATTAAACATCCCTATGTTTGGAGGTCATTATAAAAAAACGTTCATACATTTTATTTTTATTTTTGCATTTTCACCCATATTTACACGTTTCATTGCGGAAATCATCATTTTCATCTAATTTCTCAATAAAAATATGTGAAATGACAAATATACCCTCCCATTTAAATATTAAAATAAAAGAACTAATTGTAATCATATCATACTCCCAATTTTTTAAAAAAAAGTACAAACGAGTCCCAAATAAATTATTAAAAAGTTTTAAAAAATGAAAAAAAAAAAAATCACTCTTCCTCCTTTTGTCCACCACCGCCATCACTACTTCTAAATTTTCAGTTTTTTTATTTTTTTTATTTTTTAATAATTTATTTGTGATTCGTTTGCACATTCTAAAAATATTTGGGAGTATGGTTGCAATTAAATTTTTTCTTTTCTTTTCTTTATATTTAAATATGATGGTATATTTGTTATTTCACATCTTTTTTATTAAGAAATTGAATGAAAATGATGGTTTCAATAATGAAACGTGTAAATAAGAATGAAAATGCAAAAAATGAAACGTACGAACGTTTTGCATAATGCACTCCAAACGTATAAATGTTTTGTACTAATAATCCTTTAAAAATTTGTATAATAATTTCTAATCTCGAGTAATAGCGAAATCCGCAAATAACCTTCAAAATACGTGTGGAAGACAATATAGTTTTGAAACTCGAAAATGTGATTAGAATAGTGACTAAACACTAAGGGCCTGCCTTAGGAGTTTCGACGTACCGGTTATGAACATATTTTAGAATACCGATTTTGAGCGGGTTTATCAGTGGTTCAATTTTGAGAGATTTTAGTATCGATTTTTAAAACGGTTCAACATATGATTTGGAGTTTATTATCCATTGGTTTTGAAAGTTCTTTTAAAAAATAAAATTACATATATATCCCTTAGTAAAAGTTTTAATTTATTGTTTCTTATTTGAAATTTTTTTCATCATAAGTAATATTTTACTTATAGGTAATTTTTTTACATATAAGTTAATATTATAACTTCGTCTCCAATGGCTGGTGAGTTGAGTTGGTGCATAAGTATTGTCAATCGGGAAAGATAAAGTATTTTTTTTATATGTTGTACATTGGACTCCACTCTAAACTCAATGAATGCAATTGATGACTTGTGGTGATAAATTGTAACTTTTGTCTTGACAGCCATTTTTTGTTAGGTGTTAAATGATAGGGTTTAGGTGGTGTCTTCTTGAGTGAGTCAGTGTAATGTTAGATTTGGTGAAAGTAGACAAGAACATATGTTGGCAAGTGTGAAGGGCAAATTTCATGTACCCAGTGACCACCCTTGACTATATGAACCACCAAATTTGGAAGTAAGCCACGACATTAATCATACCGAGTTTAGCCCTATTACCTTTTTTTCCACAAACATAAACTTACTTCCATAATTTGAAACAAGAAAAAAAGTAAAGTAAATCTATCTTTATAGAAATGAATGAATATCTATTAAGAGTCGAACCCCAATAAACATGAACCATGACAAGGCCAATGCCAAATCCAATGGACTATAGTCTGAACGTATCATTGCGACTCGTACACATCATAAATGAAAATCAACAAAATTGATCTCCGACCCATAGTGAAAGTTGTCAAGGTGCAATCTTACCACCTCATTGACATTTTAAACCTCATTAGCGGACAAAATACCTCATCAATTTTTATTAAAAATTACTAAAACTTCTATCAAAATACGTAGTTCTTTGATGAGAGCCATTAATAAAATTAAGTTTAATCATTAAATGAAATGACATCAACGTATCACATCGACTAGAAAAATAAGTCTTAAAGTACAAAGTTGTACATAGGCATGCAATGAATTCCACCCAAATAACCTAATCCTATGCTTCTTGTTGGTTTCTCATTATGATTACAAATGATGCCTCGTTCTCCCGCAAGTGACTCGTCGAAAAATCATAAAAATTTTAAATTATTTTATTTTTGTTTCCTAGGCATTTTAGTAGTCCATTCCACCCATGCCACCCCCCATTTCAGGGGCCGACTTCTCGTCCTTTGGTTGTTCAACCACAATCGCTTCCGTCGTGGTCATCAAAGATGACACACTGCAGATGACAGAGTAACAGTCAACATAGGTACACAATATAGTTTGACTAAAGAAAAAGAGTTGCTTCATAGCAGTTCAGCTCACCTGGCAGCATCAGTTAGCGCGGTTCTAATGACTTTCAATGGATCAATGATTCCTGCCTTGACCATATCAACATATTCACCTGTTTGCACAAGGAAAAGGAGCATTTAAATGCCAGAACAATCAAAAACTGGAGTCTACTTGCAAAACATGTACAAATATGCATGTAAAAAGGCAGACCTTTAGCTGCATCATAACCAAGATCCGGGTTATCCTGTTCTAACAACTTGCCAACGACAACAGCACCCTCCACTCCTGCATTTGCTGCAATTGTATGTACTGGTGTCTGCAATTAGAAGTTCAGTGTGTCAGACAACGGACAAATCAGCTCTGCAAATACTAAAGGACAATTGAAAATTGACAAAAACCCATATTCATTACACTTTGCAAAAGATTCATGGCTGGATTAGATCATATATAAGTTGAGAATGATAGTTCATACCCTCAATGCATTTTGGATAATTTGTACACCAATCTTCTGGTCAAAGTTGGCTGTAGGCAATTTATCGAGTTCTTTCGATGCATACAAAATAGCAACACCACCACCTGCATTATTATAATTGTTTAGCATGTACCATTTCTGATATTAGTAGAGGCAAAAGGCAGAAGATGAGACATGAATGTATGAATTTACCAGGTACAATTCCCTCTTCAACAGCTGCCTTTGTGGCATTTAGAGCATCTGTAACTCTGTCTTTCTTCTCACTGACTTCTGCTTCACTAGCTCCTCCAATCTGCAAGGGAAAATTGGTAAGTTTACTTAAGACACTAAATCACATGTATCATAAAAGACAGACAGATGTAATAGCACAACTATAGTCAAGTACTAAACTCATAATGTTTGCACGAACTAAAATAGGAAATTATACCTTTAAAACAGCTACACCACCAGATAGTTTAGCAAGTCTTTCTTGCAACTTCTCCTTGTCATAGTCAGAAGTGCTCAATTCAATTGTTGACCTAATCTGCAAGTATAGATGGCAGTCTGTAAAAATAATGATATATGGGCTGAATTCTAAATTTGTATAATTTTTGTTCAAATACATCGTCATAACTAATTAACCACTAGTTGGGAGATCAGTCCTAATATGCTAAAATTAGGTCTGTGAATGAAGCAACACAAACCTGTTCACATCTTTCCTCTATGGCTTTCTTCTCACCAGCTCCATCAAGAATAACAGTGTCATCCTTAGATATTGTGACCTAGAACAGAAACAGCAGAAAAGAACATCAATTACGTAAAAGAAGAACCTTTCGTGAATCTCTGAAAGCACAAAAGCAGATCCATAACAAGAGAATGAAATGTGTTATTATTATCCAGGTTCATCAAAATGACAATACAGTTTACCTTTTTACATGAGCCGAGCATATCCAATTCCACATTTTCCAGATTCAATCCAAGTTCTTCTGTTATGACCTAAAAAGGCAAAATAACCAATTAACAAGCCCTGTGGGAAAAGTAAAATTATGTAGCAGTAGTAAATAGTATACTCCACTCACCTGGCCTCCTGTTAAAGCAGCAAGATCCTGCAAATTAGCCTTCCTATTTTCACCAAACCCAGGTGCTTTTATAGCACAAACCTGCACACATTTTAGATATAATACTGAAATTAAGCTGAAGTCAACATAACCGTCTGGAAAGCTAATTTTCCATGATAAAAGCCGTAGAGGTACCTTAATTCCAGCACGAAGCTTGTTAAGGATAAGAGTTGCAAGTGCATCGCTTTCCACATCTTCGGCAACTATCACTAGAGGTCTTTGCCTCTGGACAGATGGCAGAATAAAATCAATCATACAACTGCAACATAATCTTGATTTTGAACATCAATAGCTCAGATAAGAGGGCCTTGACAGATTTACCTTCAAAGCTAACTCTAGTACTTTCACGATAGCATTTAAGTTTGAAATTTTCTTCTCATGTATAAGAATGAAAGGGTCATCCAACTCCTGCAGTTGTTAGATAGCTTGTTAATAGACCTTCATCCAGCAAGTAGTCCATTCTTTCAGTAATAAAGATTTTAGTGCCAGTAACAACAGCAGAGAGACTTACACATTTCTGGTTCTTCTGATTTGTGATGAAGTACGGGGAAATATAGCCTCTGTCCAACTTCATTCCCTCAACTACTTCCAATTCATTGAACAACGTCTTCCCATCCTACAACAACATATGAACACCTTAATTTACACCTTGTACATAAAATTTAAGATGCAGACTGTCTGTTCGTTTGGTACTACTTATAATTTGTGGATCACGGAGTACATGGATAATAAGTTGGTAGTAAGTAGAATAAAAAGTATGTTTAGTCAGCTTATATTTCCAAACATGCTCTGAGTAGCAGAACCAAACAAAAAAAAAAGTACAGCGGCCGGAGGAGAAAAAAGGTTATCTTCACTGTCAACAAGCTATGTCAAGAGGAGCAGAATATTTGGATCATTGAACTTAACGGAAAATGTTAAACTTATAAGACCAACAACATAGTCGATTAGACAGTAGTAAATTTAAGCATTTACGACTTTGTATAACCAAGGAATGTACTTTGAAAACCTACCATATCTACATATAAAATGACAAAGTAAAAATTGTCATAGTGGGAAATCAAATGTCATAGGTCACCCACGCTTAATCATTGAAACATATATAATGAATACTTACTTGAATGGTGATGACACCCTCTTTGCCAACCCTTTCCATAGCCTTTGCAATCAGCTCTCCAATTTCTCTTTCTCCATTTGCAGAGATTGTCCCAACCTACAGGTGCATAATTAGATTAATAGCCAGTACAAGAGGAACTACCAATATTTTTTATGCGAAAGTTAATCACTTTAATGTAAAGACAATACTTCATTCATCAGCTCACAGGACTAACTAAATTTAAACAGTGGCCTCTAACATTTCAATAAATTTCATCTAATTAACACTAAATGATTATATCCTCAAAAGACCATTTTGAAAAATCATTAACACTAACTAAGCAAGTAGGGAACATAAGAATAGACAAACCTGAGCAATTTCCTCCGATGTACTTATCATTCGTGCTCTGCTCTTTAAGTTTGTAACCACAGCATCAACAGCCATGGAAATACCTCGTCTAAGATCCATTGAGTTCATGCCAGCAGCAACTGACTTGCAGCCCTCAGTAAATATTGCACGGGTTAGGACAGTAGCACATGTAGTACCTGCATGTATTTGACAGAACATGTTCAACTGGATCTATAAACTTCATTATGGAGGTCTCATATAATATTCACAGTGAGAACCAGTAATCTACAAACAAACTAAGTTGAAAACTCACCGTCACCAGCAACATCGTTGGTGGCATTTGCAACCTGCTTTACAAGGCTCGCACCAATGTTTTTGACTTTGTCCTTGAATTCAATGCTCTTTGCCACGGTGACACCATCCTTTGTCACTTTAGGGGCACCCCAACTTTGCTCAATCACTACATTACGCCCCTTCACCAATTGAAACGATCAAAACCTTAGTCAGCTACAACATTTATAAACCAGAAGACAAGAACTAAAGTAGAAATGAACAGCAAATAAATTTACAAGAACATTTGAAATAACACTTTTTAACAATGTCGTCGCATAAATATCATGAATAAATCTATCAAAGTGAAATACAAGTGTCCCTACATATTCTTCAAACATCAGTACGAAATTACAGAAGTTCATTAATAAGCTAATTGGAAACATCTATAAATAGTTACCACTGCACAATGATAAAATAAAATTGATCACTGGTGGAATGAGTAGTAGCAGGATCATTGAAGTACCTTTGGGCCCATGGTGACTTTAACTGCCTCAGCGAGCTCTTCAACACCCTTAAGCATCAAAGCCCTTGCCTCCACTCCAAATCTAATGTCTTTCGCTGCATAGTTCCTGCTCCAACCCAATCTACTACCAATCTGCATTGAAAAAAAAATGCATATTACTTGGGGTCATCAAATACCAATTTATTCAGTTCAAAATAAATAAAATAACGAATACTTGGAAGTGAAATCACCTGTTGGCTGCTATTTCTTGCAACCCTGTTCAGACAAGGAGAAAACGGGATTTTTATTAAATCGAAATTGAACAATTACAGTAGGAAAAACCAGTAGTAAAGACTGTATTTATGGATTTTGTGGAGTACCTGGCTTTGGAGGCAAGATTTGCAGCAAAACGATACATGCTTCTATGAAGAGATGAAACTGAAAACAGTAAAAAAAAAAATGCAGAAAGAAAATGAGACTGAAGAATTACGAGTGTCGAGAAATGAAGATGTAGAAATAGGGTTAGAATTGGTGGTGCTGGAAAGGGGGAGCGGGAGTGTAAATGAAGATGCAGGGAAGAATCTAGAAGAGGTGGCTTCTATCGTTTTAGGGTTTTTAATGATTTCAAGACTTGGGAGGGTTTAAAGGCTTTAAGCAGCTTCGTTCATTTTGTGTGAAGGTTAAATTTACCAATGACTGCTATATTTTATATTTTTTGAAAAAATATTATTTTAAATGGTTATTTTTAGAGAATGTACACATATACACTTTCACATATACACACACAAAAAAATTAAAAATTAAAAATTAAAAATTAAATCCACTAACCCAAATCAGAAAAAGTTATATATAAATCAAACACAAATCAAGAAAAAAAATTACTGCGTAAAAAAACAAATAAAAAAAATTCACTAACCCAAATTAAAAAATTATATAATATAAATCAAATCGAAATCAAGAAAAAAAAATTTGTTTATGCTTTTATATATTTTTTTGTGGTAATAATCGGATGGCTTGACTGAAAGGTTATATGAAGTTGGATGGTCATTGTGAATCAATATCAATTTGGGTAATCATTGTGACACTAAATAAAAAATACAGTATTCACGGTTAATCAAAATCAATTTGAATAATTATGGTAACACTAAATATAAAGTATAGTGGCCAACCTTTTTTATTATATCGATAAAAAAATTTTCGATAAATTTATTTTATCACTTTTACTACATTTTCAAATGATGCCGGAAGCAGATTTTGAGATTCAAAAGTTATTTTGGATTCATTTAATTAATTTTATGAAAAATCTTCTTCCAATTAGACGAGTTTTTAGAAGAATCTGATCTAATATAACTTTTTCTAAAACTACTTTTGAAAGAGGAAGCCATTTTAGAAATTTTTCCGAACAAAAACTATGATGACTTTCTCATTAAACCCTACAAAAATCAAAAACAAAAGCAAAAATCAAGAAAAAGGGGCCCTCATTAAACTTGACCCTATTTGATGGTTATTATTCGGAAAAACAATGTTTTGAGTGGTGATTTTAGGAGAATGAATATATGGTTAAAAGTATGGAAAACTTTAACTTTACGTAAATAATATTTTATTATATGAATGTGTAGTTGAAAATAAATATATGAAAAAAATCAAATAATGGTTGTCAAATAAAGGCTTAGTTTGTGTAGATTTGGTCGACCATCTACTAACAATAATTTCATGCAAATGTTACTCTGACGTCGATTCAATAATAATGCTTGTTTGGTAACCATTTTTTTATAAAAAAAATAGCATACTCATTTTTAACCACACATTTTCACAATACAATATTCTCCACGTAAGTTTCAAACTTTTTTGTACTTTTTGACCACGCATTCTTTAAAATTTTACTATTTAAAAACTCATTCTTCCAAAAAAAATGACGATCAAATAGCGACTTATGTTGTATCAATAAGTCACTGTTTGGAGGCTTTTAATTTAGTGTGTGTTTGTCTTCCATTATTGTAGAAAAAATGGAGTCCCTGTTTGTCTCCCATATGGGAGAAATAATAGAGTTTTGAATAGTATTTTTTGGGGAATGTGTGTAATTTAAAGAAATTTTACTGGTTTGTGTGTAAAATATTTTATTGTGTAAATGTGTGGTGGAGAATGGTACTGTAACAAACAATTTAATTTTTAAAGGATGACAAACACACCCGGAGTAATGAATAGTATTTTTTTGAGAATGTGTGGTTGAAATTTAAAGTAATTTTATTGGTTTGTGTGCAGAATATTTTATTGGGTGAATGTGTGGTGGAGAATCTTACTGTAACAAATAATATTTTGGAATAATGGGAGACAAACGGGGCCTTAATTTACAGTACTTTAATTTATTTTTCATACTTATTTTCAACAACAATTTACACAATAAAATATTCTACACGTAAACTCAAATTTTTTTTTTTAACCATACGCTCTCCAAAAAAATATTATTCAAAACATAGTTATATTAAATTGAAGGCCACCAAATCGTGGCTAAATTAATAACAAAAAAGCAAACAGAAAGTAAAATAAACTCTCTCTTCACAGGTTCGAGGTATAAGCCCATTTGACCAATGATATGATAATTTGTGTACGATCTGTGGTGTCTTTATATGCAATGGCGAATCCAGAAAATGAACTCAACTTGGGCGGTCGACAATCGTCAGCTATCAACGACCACAATAGTGAGATCGTCTACGAAATACGAAATAGAGGTGAAGAAGGATGACTACAAGAAGAATAATTTAACAAATTATCACCCGAATTACAGTACTAAATCTATAAATCACCCGTCAATATACATAAATCACAAATCACCAATACTTAGGCAACTGCATTCTAGGGGATCTTATATTTTGAAAACGTTGTAATATTGTAACATTCTCAATTTTTCCACATCACAAATCAAAACTTATAAATGATAAATTAAAATTTATAATTCAATGATAATGCAACATAAATTATTTATCCCAAATTCACATATTCACAAATCAAAATTCTCATTTCAATGCCAAATTGCCAATTAACTCATAGAACATAAATCATAATTCTTAAGTAAGGATAATCATAACTCATAAATAAAAAAAATAACACACGGAGAGAGAGAGAGAGAACTCACGGGCTCCCTCATAGTCACGACGGTAGCTGGCAGTTCAGACCTTCCGACAATCGAGTCATCCGACACTAGCACGACTGGACTGGTCACTGCCCACTGGTGGAGGTGGAAATTTGGAAGTGGAACCGTGTAAATTGTAAAGGATTTGTGGAAAAATGGAAATGGAGTGAAATTAACGAAAATGGACCATATATATAAGAGAAAATTACACCTACACAGGTATTTAAAATTTACAATTCAAA